TAGAAGGATATTTATAAGACTACAATAGAAAAACACAGGTTCTTTTCATTTTTAAGGCATCTGTGTTAAAAAGAAGTTAACCAAAATCATGTTTTCATTATTGACTAGTTACAGTAATGTTATAATTATGAAGGCTAGTAACCCCAACTGTGAATATTTATCTAACAAATGAATAGAAAGCAAGTTCAAATAAATAACTGATTTATTTAAGGGAAGGGGACTAGGAATGCCAAAAGGTAAAAAAATTGAAGTAATCAGTCCTTTTTCCTGGAGGTACTGAGTGAATTATTGTTCTATATATGTTTTAGGAAATGAAAAGATTTTCCATATACTTCCACTATTTGTCCATCCTCTTTAGAATCTAGTATATATTAGGTTTTTCATATTTAGGAGACTCTCCCTAAAATAAAAAGTTTTAGAAAAATTAAAGAGAATATTTTCCTTTCTGATATGTTTTTGCTGCTCTGAACATGGGTTAAGATATAAACGTCTTAAGAAGAAAAAGAACCTTTCAGGGGTGGTTTTGCTTGTGTTAAAATTATTTTATTTTAATTTAGGTACATGAATAAACACTGGACAATTGTAAGACATAGACATTATAAATTAACAGAATTATACACTTTTATTTTCAATTATGATTTTCATAGATGGTTTCTGCTATTTGGTCAGCAATTGCTTTGGGCACATAAGTTTTCCACTAAGTGTGTTTCACTTTTTAATGTTGCTGAGAAGAATTTTACTTTTATATTTACCTGAAGGGCAATTTCCTTGAACTGATATCATTATTTGCTTTATTCTTAGAGGTTCACAACATTCTCCTTTGTGCTTTTTTAAAGTTTCTGTGAATGTTTGTTTCTAAAGGAGGCCAGCTAATTGTTTTTCCCAGGAGTATTTGATTATGGTCTCTTCATTAGCTTCATTTACTTTATCTATTTATATGCTTCTTTGATAGCAGTTTGACCTTCTGAGTTCCCCTCCAAGAATGGGTGATATCAAAGTAGAAGGTGAACCCTTGATAAGAGGTATATTGACCCCTGTTCTTCTATGATTGCCCTTTTGCTGGCCTCTGAGGGCACACCCATTAAATCCAGGAGTTTTAGAATTCTAATGTCTATTGAAAAGCCAATTTCCAATAGATGTTAGCTCAGGGCCAGTCTTCCTCAGCAAAAAGAGGATTGGCATGGATGTTAGCTCAGGGCTGATCTTCCTCACACACACACAAAAAAAGCCAATTTCTTAGAAATGTTGGGTAGCACAATTTAAATTGAGATGCAGCTGCTGAATTTTTGGAGGAAAAGGAGGTGGGAATAACAGATAATTTCTCAGTAAAGGGTGGATTTTTTTCTGTTACTGCACAACACATGGATTAAATTATTTTATGAAATAATTCTTTCTAGAAGCTATTTTCAGATGGGGGTTAGTTATATTTAAAAAGGAATTTTTGCCTGGCCAGATTCCTGTGGGTTTATATCCATGTTTAATCAGTTTTGTCTCCATTCAGGTAGGCCTTAAACAGACAAGAAAGTTAAACGGACAATTTTGGTTACAGGTACCTAAACGAAAGTGTACTGGCCTGGGAATTAGGAATTCTGAGTTTTCCATTCCCTAGGCTACCATTTGTTATATGACTTCATATTATTTGCTCTGGGCTTTGGTTTCATCACATGGCAAATAAAGGCAGCAGGAATTTATTGCATGCCAATTATGTACTGTTGCTTTTATTTATGTATTTTTTTGATGTGGATTAAAATGTAGAAAACAAGAGACTGTGAAAAATGTAATCTGTACTACAAGCACTGATTTTAGAGACAAACTTTTAATACAGCCCCTATCATCCTCCCCTGTCCAAAAATATATACTCTTTTGCTGCTTCCATTTTTTTTACTTCCTGCACTTATCAGCTGCCTGAAATTCTGCCAGTTGGAGGTGACCTTCTAATAATATGTACCCTTTTTGAAATAATATGTACTGCCTCTGGAAAGACGGAGTTACCCTGAGTTACTTCAGATTGCTTTCCTCCTTTGTTACCTAAGAGAGATTAGCTGCAGGAAGGGGATGGCTGTCCTGGTTGAAGGGGAAGGAAGACAGGCGATTTTCAATGTGAAGCCCATTAGGCTGTAATAGGAAGGGAAAGGCTGGATTCTTACAGCAAAGAAGACTCAGCTCAGAGTAGAGGAACCAGTGTACTCTAATGTTTAAGAGCATGGGCTTCAGAGTAGAGCATACCTGGGGTCCATCTTGGCTGTAAAGAAATTACTTAATCCCTCTGAGTTTATTAGCTCAGTGCTTGATTTATAGTAAGTATCCAATAAATGGTGGCTCATTAAGATGAGAGTATCTGACCACCTGGAAAAAAGGGACATTAAGAAGTGGTGGAAGAGTGGACGAAGGAAGGTAGAAGGCCAGTGACAGCTTTTTTCACACTCTTCAAAATTTCCCTTAGAAGTAGTTCTGTAGCCAGGAAATGCGGTAGGAGGTGAGCAAATAGGAGATTTTCTTGTTGATTTTTTTTTTATGTTGTCCTCAAGCATTTCACAGCCTCACGTTCCCAGGATTTAACACTTAGTTGAGTTCTAGTAGACATTTTGGGTTGAAAAGGTGTTTGTTGTTATTTTGCATTTTGTCTTGTTTTGTGGCCTAGATTGTGAATCTAACACTATATATGAGGGTGCATTTCAGATTGTGAAACAACTGGCTTGAAAATGAACTCCAGTAGCATATCCAAGTTTTAAAACTCTAGGACTGTCTAAACTGGTCATATCAAAGGACTTTGTGTTTTTCTGTTTTTGTGAAAGGATATGAGATGCTCCTTCGTGGAGAATAGGAGAGATTGGATTTGGAATCAGGTTTCTCAGGCTCTGCCATTTACTTGCACATCCAAGGGAAAACAACAACAACAGAAAACCAAACCTCTTTTAGTATGAACAATTCCCAGCTGAAAGTGACTACAATACATAATTATTCCATGGAACAATTTAATCCAGGTCTTCCAACTTGTCTAGACTTAAGCTACCTCATTCACTCATTCATTGTCCACAAATTCATTGAACATCCCTGTAAAAGAAGCTGGTAGAACTTGATGATCCCTAAACTACCTCCAACTATGATATTTGTGATTTAGTCTTAGAATGTATTAAAGTTCTTTTAAAACATGTAAGCTGTACTAGAAACATTCTTGATGATATTCCTTTCCCTCACTATTCTTCATGAGAATAAAGTCTTCAAAGTTGTGTGAAAAACAAACAAACAAAAATCAGGTCAGGCTTTTGGTATATTAAATTCCTTGGGCTGTTGAGAATTTTTTTGGTTGCAAGTGATTGGAAAGTCCAAGCCTTACTGTCTAATCAACAATTGGAATGTATTGGTTTGTGTAACTGAGAAGTTCAAATGTATGGTCTGGCTTCAAGTAAAGCTTAATTCAGTGGCTTAAAATATGTCAACAAGAATATAGTTTCTTTCTGGCTCTTAGTGTTCTGCCTTTTTTTTTTTAGTGTTGGCAGCCTCCTCAGGCTATATACAATGGACCCTTGGCAGCTCCAGGCTTTCTCCTCAGGCAGTAACTGTTCCACGTATCAGATTCTGATATTGCAGTGTTCAAGGGAAGAGAGGTCACCTCCAGAAGCTCCTGCATGGAGCCCTGTGATTCACTTTCTCTCATTTGTTTAAACTTGATCACATGCTCGTTCCTCAATCTATTACTGGTGGATAGGGAAATACGTTGGTGAGCTTAAACCTTCTGTGGGGTCAATCCCACTCAAACATATGGCTGAGAATGGAGGAGAGGGTATGACCCAAAGGAAATTGGGCACTGTTAGTTTGAGAAGGAAGGAACGGATGCTGGATATTAGCTCGTTTTCAGAAGATTTGGCATGCTGAAACTTGGGCATGTTTTATAAATTTATAAACTTGAAGCTGCTCTTTTTCTTTTCTTTCTTTCTTTCTTTTTTTTTTTTTTTAAGCCAGAGTTTCTGTTTAAATTGCCAAAACATCTTTAAAAGATTTTCTGTTTGTAGACCCTCTCAAGTCTAGCCCAGTTTTTTCTGTCAACAGGTAGTGATGCATGTCAGGGCACATCAGTACTACATCTTAACATGAGCCCTATGAGATGTTAATAAAATATATAGAGAGTGCATATTCAGCTATCTGTAATTCTGTGAAGTCGGGCCAGATGCTTAATGCACCAGTTAGAAACCATACCACATCTTTCTGAACAATTCCGAAGGGTATTGGAGAAATAATTAGATTTTAGCAGGTCACAGATGCCTTAGAATACTAAAAGGTTTTTAAAATCCTATATTAAACTGTTCTTTTGGTATTTGCCTTTTATTAGTCAACACTTAAAATGTACCTAAAAACAATCACATATCCCTTTTAAGTATATTTCCAAAACATGCTGCCCTGGAGTGAGATCTGTCATTACAGGACTTGAAACAGAAATCAAAGCAAAATCAGAGTGGTTATTTCCCTGCCTACCTGCCTGTCTGCCCACCCTCTGTTATACCCTTCTTCTCTTCAACACCCAGATTAGACTGTTACACTTCAGACTGTGGGAGAAAGTTGATTAAAAAAAAAAAAACTGAGAAAAAAGCATCCCTTTGGCCTCCCAGGAAAGAAAGGAGGAATTGTGGTTCAGAACAGGTTAGTACCCAGCCAAAAGTGATGGTGGAAGGAATCTGGTTAGTGCAAAACTGAAAGCCTGCTGTTTCCTACTTTCTTCCCTCTTCAGGGCTTTTACATACGGCCGGCCATGCAGATGGTGCGCTGTACAACTCTGGCCGATGTAGGCCGTGTCCTTGATTCCTTCCAACTCCCCAATGCCATGTCACCTTTCTCTCTTTGTTTTAATGTTCAGAAAAGTATCTTTTCTTTTAAAAGTGTCTTTTAAAAGTATCTTTTAAAATGGACCTTGGAAAAAGCAGAGACTTGGAGCAAGCAAAGTGAGTGAATTCTCCCTCTAATACTTTGTGTGTGGCCCTGGGTAAAGAACTTCAGTTCTTTGACCCTCTGTTCTCTCATTTATGAAGAATGGGATATGAGACCCACCTCATTTTGCTATTATGGACTTCAAATAAAGTTGGTACATGTAAGAGTTTATTACTAAATCTGAGAAAGCACTTACCAAGACACAGCTAAAACCTGTGGATAGTTGCTTTTTTATTTTCATAGGGATGAGTGGGGCCAGTGTCAGTTCAAAAGGTACAGTCCACTAATGTTAAACTGAGCTGTGTGTTTTAACAATTTATCTTTGAGAATGAAACAATTTGAGAAATGCTTCTGCTTATTGTCCCGGATGCTCAGACCTTGAGATAACAGTATCTAAAGCTGGTTCTGAGACTTAATTACGAATGGAAGGACAAATTCCTTATCCTTAGCAATAATTAGTCTAAAACATAGCTTTGGAGGAATGGCTAACAGTTAATAAGAGCAGATCAATATATGTCTGATTATTGAGATGTATATTTACTAGGTGTTACACAAGTGAATTGCTCTGAAGCCGTGTGATTCTCTATATAGCAAGCTACTGCTGTTAATCTCAACTAAAGCTGTCATCACATGCAAACCATCTTATTGTTTCACTATTTCTGGAGTATTGGTGCTAATTTTAGGTACACACATGGACTTTCTGAGAGAAAGATTTCCTGAAATTGTTGTCAGATTTTTCATATTTCTGGAAACCAGCTCTGTAGTTCTCCTTGTGTTTGAGATTCTCTCTTTTAGGGATTGCTATTTCCCTGCAGTCCAGATTACTTAGGTACATAAACATGTCTAATATTGAAAGAAACATGTTTAAAGTAGAATTGACGACTGTTTTATATTATATCTGTTTATAAATAACTATGGAAACTGCCTCTCATTGGCACTGTCCAGGAGAAGCAGATTTACTACAATTAGTATTTCTTTTCCTTTAGGAAATGGTATGAATTGATTATTTGCAAGGTTTTTTAAGGGATAAAGTATTATCAATTGATTAGATTTAGACTAAGTGAATGTTTTACAATATCATCTATTCCAAATAAAAATAAGTTAAAAATTGTCACGTTTATCATTAGGAAATTTTCTTTAAAATATAAATCTATTTAAATTTTCTGAACAAATGTGTTATGTATAAACTAGATTATGTCTATGTCCCCTCTGCCTCATTTCCTTATACTCTACGTAATTAATCTTAAATTTAGGGAATTTAAAAACATTTTATAATTCTTTTATTAGTAAGTTTTTATTCCTTTTGTTTGACATTTAAAATGTATTACTGCTACAAATTCACAAATGCTTTATTAGGTTTCGTATATGTGTTTAAAAATTAAGATCTAGACTTGACAAGTTTCATTAAAAGTGCACAAATGTTGCCAAAATTTATTTATACTTTAATGAGCTTTTATTCTTAACCAGTTGTTTTTAAAAAATGAGGATAGAATCAAAAAGTAATGAAAAAGTGTTACTTTTTAAAGTTAATAATTTTTATGTGGGAGAAAGCTGAGAAGGTTTTTGGTAGTTGTTTAATTCTCATGTTTACATAGAAGCAGTGCGGAACTATTTGAGTCACTTCTCATGCAGCCCCTCATTGTTTTCTTCAGTGACCCCGGGGAACAGACTTGTCATTCTGAAGTGCCCACGTGTAATTCTGTCCTCCCCTTCTTCCCCAGGGTGAGTCAGGAATAAGCTTATCAGATCATATCTTATTGACAAAGAGCAAAGCTTGTTGGCTGACTAAAGAAGAGGGAAGGACAAGTAAAATATGACAGGTTTGATACCAAAAGTCCTGAACCAAAAGGTTCACGGTTTTTAAATAACTAAACTTTTTTCAAAGTAGGATTTACGTCTTTTTGAAACATTTCCTTGAGTTTTACCTTATCTAGCACTTTAAGTTCAGTAAAAGTTAACAGTTTTACCCATATTTTATACACTATAATTAAGTTGTCACTATTATCATTATTATTGTTGTTGTCATTATCGTTATTATTTGTTCCTTGCAAGCAAATCTTTCTATCTTATATTTAGAAGAAGTTAGAGAAAATTATGTTGCATCTTAGGTGCTTCCAGTAAGTTTTCTAACAGAAGTAGAAATAGCTTTCTCATAGAAAGTAGAAGTAGCTTTCTGATAGGCAGTAGAAATATTATAAATGTAGAAATAAATTATTGTAAATGTTAAGTAATTATAAGGAATTTGTATCTCATATTTGTATCCTATCTTCTTGACTAAACAAAACAATATTACCATCTCCGTTAATATAGCTGATATCTAGTAATTTTATAGCGGGTGCCAGTCCAAGAACTTGTTCTGGGCACTCTGAAGATGGTATTAAGGTGGTTTCTGTAGTTCTAAGAGAAAACGATGCTATCCAGGCTTAGAAGGGTTACTATTTTTTAATGCACTTTATTCAATTCACTAGCATCCTCTTTGTTTTGTTTAGGTTGGTTTTACTTCCAACTAAGTCTCTGAATTAACTGGTTAGGAGGAATGGGTGGTGAGATTGTCTAAGTAAGCTCTTGCTTTCAAAGTGTTCAGTAGACACTCAGAACAAAAGCGGTCAAAAAAGAGAAGTAGAACAGACATTCTAAGAAGGCCCTTTAAGTTTGATTCCTATTTTCCCCTCTGTCTTCCCACAGCTTCCCAACAAATATTTACTGGATGGCAAGGTATGTGCCATAAGTCTGGTCACTTTGACTTATTCTCTGTTCTTCAAAGACTTTATAAGCAACCTTTTAAAGTTGCCTTATCCATATGGATTATATGTGGGCCAATACCACCTCATAACAGCTAGATATAGACTCTTGAGCAATTCTAAAGAAAAGACATAGAAACCTGTTCTTAGTCTGTGTATGAGAAGGTCAGAAGCAATTTAACCAATGCATTCTTATAAAACTATATTTGAAATGAAACTGATAGCAGCTAAAGAGGAAAAATTTTTGAAGAGATATTAAGGAGAGAATCAGAGCTGTTGAGATAATAATGATGTGTTAATTTGAGGGGAAGAGAGCCATAGTAGGTAGATTTCAAACTCTTTACCAGTTACTGTGATGGTAAGTGCAAGCATGGAAGACAGGAAATTGTCCAACAACATTTACAATGCATGTTCCCCTTACCCCTCTTTGTAGTGAATTTTGAAGAAGGATAGAGGAGACTGCTGAGTTATACAGGCCAATGAAGAAGAAGAGAGAAGTTCATAGATGTGAGCAAAATAATAGTATCAGTGTAGTGAGACTAGTATTCTAAAAATGGTGATAGTATGAAAAGAGTGGTGGAAAGCTAAGTGTAGACTAAAATAGTAAAATCTGATTGCACACGAGGGGAAAAGATATTCAAATATGGAGATATGTTACTAATTTGGGGTATTAAGGAACATGACCAGACTGCTCATTCCTTTCTTAGGCCCTTCGGGGAAGAGAGTTGAGGCTTTCCAAAAGCTGCCAGTTGTAAGTTTATAGGAGAGTCCATGGGATTCCCAAGTCTTTATTTGTTCTGCATCCAGGAATGTAATCTCTGACTGAGGAAGGCTCTTCTTTAAATGGCAAGGAAACTATCTGCTTTAGGAGAGTGAAAGCTGACACTTTCCAAGAGAGCTAGAATGGCCTAACAAAGCCATGACCATTAAAGGGGGATGTGTACGTGAAGCCACATGTCAGTCAAATCACCCACATGTCCTTTAGGAATATGGGGCAACTTGCAGAGGCTTCTGGTTTGTATCCAGATTAACATGTAGTCTAACACTGTAATGTCAGTGCAGACAACAGAGTCATGCAAAATATGAAACCAGAGCAAATGTACAGGTCTTAGAATATGGAATAAAAATGCTGTGGCATTCAGGGTTCATTGTAATTTGTATCAGAAAGTATATGAAAGAAAATATTAAGGAGAAAGTTATACCAGTTCAGGATATGTCATCTACCATATAATGTTCCAGAATTCTAATATTCATTTCTATTTACACTTGGCTCTTCTGAACCTTATTCCTTCCTTTGACTTGTCCTTTATGAACAATATCTTTCATTAGTAAACAAACAAATTTCTTCACTCATCAATTAGGGAAAACCACCAACAGTCCTGTTAGTGTCAAGGATTGATTTTGATGGACTATGCGCAAATATATTTTTTTCCCTCAATCTCTAATATGAGTGGTAATAAACCTTTTTAAAAATAAATGAACATTGTTTAAGAGAGGAGACAGAATGACTCAGAAGACTATGCTATTAGGAACCATTTACACATTTTTTTATTATAAGAAATGAATTGACCACTACTACTTTTTCTATCAGACTTGTTGCAATCAATTGTTACAATTCACTTTATAGTTTACCTATAGCCATTAAGCGACACTGTTTAGTTGTTTGTTGTAGAAAGTTAGAAAATAATGATTATAATAAGAGGAAAATAAAAATAATGTGAATTTACAGTATCCAATGTCAATACTGGATAGTATAAAGCCTTTTGGACTTTTACAACTTATATCTATATACAAACAAGTAATATTTTTATTAAAAATTTGGAAAATACTGTATTTAAATAAAAAATTATTTACTGTTTTATAATTTATTTATTTATAACTTTTTTTCACTTAAGAAAATTGTGAGCACGTCTCCAATTTGATATTTATTTGATAATAAATATACCTGGATATCATCGGTTATAATGGGAGCATCATATGCCATTGTTTGCACAGATAGTGATCAATGTAACCAACCTGTCTTGCTGGGCATTTATGTGCTTTTCAACTTTTCAAGATTATAAGCAAAATTATGATGAAAATGCTTCTAACTAAATCTTTGTGCTCAATCAAGTTTATTAAGACAGCTTACTTGAGGTAAAATTGACAGTTCATAGATCTGCCACTCCTTTAATGAATTTGCTGTAATTACAAGATTGCCCTCCAGAAAGGATATATTCTCCCAGTCTCTGCATTCTCAACAACATTGGGTGGTGTTAATATTCAATTTAATAGGATATAAATTGGATCTTGATATTGTTTTAATTTGTATACATAGAAGGAGCACAGTTTCTTTCTTTTTTGGGGAGAGGGCATTTTGTTTTCCTTCCTTTCTTCCTTCTTTTTTTTTTTTTCTTTTTTGGTAAACTTGTCTGTGTCATCTATTTCTTTCAGAAGTTGAACAAAGGAAAGTACAGAGAATAACAAAGCAATACAGTATGCACCACTTAGAATTAACAAAGATTAACATTTATTGAATTTATTATTGCTTTAAACTCTTAATTAAAAATAGAATATAAGAATATAACAAAGTTGAAATATCCTTAGCTTCCTCTCTCATCCATTTACCTCTTTCCTTTCCCAGAGGCATCCACTGTCATGAATTTGGTGGTATATTTTCTTCAGTCTATGTTTTTGTATTCGTTTAATTAAAATTAGAGTCAGCCGTGAGCCATCAAAAACTTTAAGTCAGAGTGACTTAAACAATATAGAAGTTGCTTTCTCACTTGTGTAAAAGTCCAGCTAGGTCCAGATAGTTCAGGATGGGCGTGGCCCTCCACACAGTCAGTGACGTGGGCTTCTTCCAGTTTGTTGCTTTACAGTGGGTGTCCTTGATCTCATAATTCAAGCTAGTGGCATCCTCATTCCAGGAAGGACAGAGAAAAGGATTACAAATACATTGGTACTAATAATTACCCATCTGTTATAATAATAGCAATTATTATTTATTTTAATGATAATTATTCATTAATTAACTGCAAAATTGCGTTTAGTTGTCCCCTGTATAAAGAAGACCACAAGGATCATTCTTTTACATATTTCCTACTCCACATGGCTGAGTTTCTCTGGCTTATATACCTAGAAATGGAATTTCTGGGTCTTAAGGGATGACTATAGGTATAGGTTACTATACTAGATATTGCAAAATTCTTCTCTTTGCTTTGTTAGGCTGCTTTCAGCTGCAAATAACAGACAATGGAGTCCAAAGTGGCTTAAATAAAGAAATTTATTACCTCACACAACAAGAAATCCAGAAGTAGGGTTGCTCTAGGTTTGGTTAATTCATTGATTCAATGACCAGAATGATTGTATTGCTGTGTTTCTTTTGAAAGGCAGGGAAACTTTTCCCAAAAACTTCCCCCATCGAGCTTTCTGTCATATCTTATTGACTAAAATTGAATCGCATGTCAGTGCCTAAATTGATTACTTACAAGGTTAGACAAGACCATGATGGTGGGCTGGGGGACAAGGCCAATTTCTCTTGAAGAATGTTTTCGGGGGAAGGAGATACCTGAACAAAATATGCTTTTAGGAAGGAAGAAGAGGGAAGGTAGATGGCAAGTAGGCAATTGGCAGTGTCTGCTGTATGTCTGCTTGCTACATTCCCATCAGTAGTATGTGAGTCCTTAATTGTCATGGCTTTTGTTTGTTTTTGCCAAACTAATGAGCATGAAATGGTGCTCTCTGTTATATTCCTTGACGTTTTTCTACTCCTAGTATGTTACATACCTTTTCAGACATTTATAGGTCCTTTAGGTTTTCTCTTCTGTGAAATGCCTTAGTTATGTTCTTTACCTTATATTATCCTGAGTTATTTGTATTTTTCTTATTGATTTGTATCAGTTTTTAAAATATGTCCTGAATAACAATTATTTGTCTGTAAAATTGTGTTGGAAGTGTCTTCTGCCAATGTATAGCTTGTCTTTTTATTTTTGTTTTAATAAAAAATGTTTCCATAATTTAAAGATTTGTACGTTTTGTGTCTAATTCAAAAAATCATTTTATACACCAAGGTCACGCGGATATTATTCTAAAGTTTTTTTTCCGTATTGAATTTTAAGTGAATATCGACCTTTTTTATACTGTATACAGTTTTTAAAGTGATATGGCACTCTTCCATAGGATCTGTAAGA